TGATAAAAATTCGTTATGTGTACATATATTATGGATTAATTCTAATGTACCGATACGAATTTAACATGATTAATCGATAATTATAAAGAAAAACAATCATTTGATTATCAAGATACGTGCTAATTCTAAATTAATGTTTTATCGAAATACTAAATGACGAAAACACATTTAGCAAATTCACTATCTTGGATTTCAAAAGAAATTTTGTAACCATTCATTTCTACTGCCTAAGCAGTAATACGAAAAGATTTGATATCCCTATTTTTTCAGTAAGACTTATAGAGATGACTGTAATTTTCTAAATGAAAATTTCGGAAGTAGTCCTAACGTTAACACTTTTCCACGACTGGTCGATTATTGAAATAGGTAGGTGAAGATACTTTTGTTTTTAAATTCATGAGATTACAAGATATTCTCTATCGATATCACTGACGCCCACCTTTGTTACTAACACATTAGTCGTTACGTGTGGCTTTGACCTGCTTACAGTCAAATTAACTTTGACCGTCAATGAGTTTTTGTGTTTCTTCCACGAACATATTTTTCTGTGCCATAAAACACAAAGAATATTTCAACCAGTAATCGCTAATATTAGTAACATCGATTATATTACAGTTAGTATACGGAATAAAATAGGCATACCTGATTCCAAAACGAATATCAAGTGGCAGACATTACTTAAAATCGATCAATGATTAAAATTTGATCTAAAATTATGTTTAGAAATCAAGGCTGATTAAATCAATCGGGAGACAAAACACATTAAAATGACTATTCATTAAAAATGGAATACTTTGAATGTGAGGGCAATTTTACTATTAATTTTAACTACAAAACATTTTATAATGAACTTTAAACATACAGCAAAACATAAATAGGCCCGAAGCTGTACTAGGATATCATATGGGTCAGTAGGTCGGTACCGGGCTCGCGCTCCCCGGTACAAATTTACATGATATTTTGTTCGGGGAATCTTGCTCAAAGCGACACAGATCTATGATTGTGTTACATATGTTCGTGTAACGTGTCTTCCGATATCTAATAAACCTAATTACGTACCCCACTTCAAACACGATACAAAATTAATTACACCTGGCCTTACAATTCAGAAAAATTTTGTAAATTAATTTGATTAATTCCCAGTTGAATAATTTTCTTTTAGAGGTAAGTTGTTTATATACTCAATTAAGAAATAGTTTTAATTAAAAACATGACATCATATTTTTTTATTTACGTAGAGACAAATTTGGAGAATTTAGGATGAATTAAAGGATTAAAAATTGAATAATAATGTATAAAACTGAATAGGATGGCGGTGCAATCTGAATTTATACCTCCCATAATAGCTTTGTAATTTCCTTAGTACTTTTAATCTACTATCCATTTATAACACCGTCAGTAAAAATAACAGATCGTAGAAACAAACAACATAGCATCTTCTTCCACAAAATCTACATATAAAACTATAAAGAGCACTTTCCCAACGCCTGTCTGCTAAATATCAAGAAATGGATATTATACACAACATAGGATCCTTCCTATTGGTTCCTACCAATAAACGTTAGTACATACCGGTCATATCAAAACATGGCGCCAGCTATTTATAAACACAGATCGTACTGTATTTAATAACAAGAGAAGATGGAATCATATCAACGCGAAGATGAAAAACATGTTTTCTATCACGGCATACCATTTTAATGCATGATAAATTGAAATGGAACGTAGAGAAAAAATATCGTATCAGATTTAAATAGAATATCAGATACTTGTAATGGTGATTTCGGTGACTGCTATACGTATCGGCTGATGCCAAAAACATTGACTCATCATTTTCATTCACGGAAAATCTGTATTAATCATGGCTAATAAGATTGTAATGTCCTTGTACACTATAATTCAACTAATGGCCGGTTTCCCAGCTATGTTTAACTAATCATTAGTGTTTTCGGTTCGACAACTAGAAATGCGTTTCCAAACTACGTAACTTGAGTTTTACTGCGTTTAAACATAATTTAACTTAACACTAATAAATCACGGAAACCTCAAAAACACAGTATAAAACACGCAAGTTAAACTATAAGTCTAGTATTTGAAAGAGTCAAAAGATTTCATGTTTGCCTTTGCCTTGAGCTTGAACTGTCGATGTCCGTGTTACAAAAAACATTGCTAATAATTACGTAAGAGTCGCAAATGACAGGTGGCATGTTCGTAAAGTAATGGGAGCATGAATTGTATTTGCTTCTAGCAGCATTTTAACGCCCACACTCGCTCGCTTTATTAACCAGATTGATGTTCCGATACAGAGTACATGTTAGTTCAAGCGACAACTGTTCACAGTAATCACTTCGTTAGATCTTAGTTCTAGACAATTTTTTTGCGACAAAAGTATGAAAACTACTGTTGGACTTTATTCCGTTACTGTTGCTGGGTCTAAATCAATGTTTTCATATCTACAAGAATGTTAATTTTTATTCTTATAACAACCAGAACTTAGAAATGGCGTTTGCTGTGTTACAGAGGTTTCACTTTATCAGCTATCTCTACAAAAACAAAGGAATCCGTTTTAAAACCTTGAATAGCTTAGATAAAAATATTAAATCCGATTATGACTTTCTAAACAAAAAAAAAGTTCAGCATCCACAGCACAATGCGGGTCATAACGAAAGACAAAGGAGAATGAACATTGGAGTCTGGTTGTAACTCTGCAGTGGAATTTTCCATGAAGCTTTCTATAGGCTCGGACGCACTTCGTCTTACGGCATCCCATCACGATACAGCGCTTAACTTTACATGGCAACCGACAATCAAACCGACTTTAGATTGTTTATTCGGATTGCAAGATATCTTAATACAGATAAAATCTAAAAGTATCAGCAATACGAAGTATTAAAAAATATAAACACACTATACCAAGAAATTAGGATGCGTCTTCCAACGTCAATTTCTTCTCAGAATATATGTTTAAAGACTCTACTTCAGCTCTATACAAAACAGTGCGATAAGAAAAATGGACGATGAAGATATTTTTTTGCAATTTCTTCATCGAAGCTAAGAAATAGTGTAACTAATCTAAGTCCAGAGTTACAAAAAAATTAATTTCAAATTATATGTTAAACACTTTAAATGATTTAACATATACTGAAGTATCAGTCGATTAGTAGCAGGTCAAACTGTGTTCTTATGTCCCTATATTTTCTAGAGCATTCGGGCAACACCGAGCCTGTCGTACTTCGACAATTTCACTACTTATGCGAGACGGCGTAAATTAACTTCATAAATGCAAAGCATTTTTTACTATTTAATATAAAAGCATATGGTAATTCTCACGTCTTGATTGACTCCTTCTTAGTTATGCAAAAAGCAGGGAGGACCCTTTCTTCTGGGTGTTTATTTGTTAAGACCACTTTATAACGATTCTGGATGCTGCAAATAAAGTCTAGTCTTCATTTTACACTAATTTAACACCTCGGAACTAATAACAAATAAAGTAATTTGCACTTAACTTCCCTTATAAGTATTTATAGCTAAAATAGCACTAACCACAAATGATTTACCGTATATTTTAGAACAGTATGTTTATTGAGTATATTCTACAAAGAGCATAAACATATGATAAACCATACGATTAAAAAAGATTGTTGAATTAATACATAGAAGTACGCCATCCCATATTATAACCACAAAGTGAAAATACTTATGCAACAAAAAGCAGGCAATATAAGTGTCGCTTGACATTTAACAGGGTCGGTCGGTTTTTACTCAAGTTTTTATAACAAACCCCTAGGTTAAGAAGTACAAGTTCAAGTAAGTCTTAGCTATCAAGGGTCCATATATCTATGCTACAAAACCTTTCTGTTTCTGATAAGACATGGAACTCTACCAAAAACATACTTCTTACCAGTCTAATTATATTTTAAACTGCTTATTATTTGGATCAATATATAAATTTTTAAATAATAACAAACAACTTTACGCTTTTTTTATAGTTTGTTATTGGATATTTTGGCACAACCTGGTATATGTACCATTAGTGACATATGTATCTTGAAGCGAATTCGAATCCCACATATTTAGACTATATGCTGAGAACACAATGATAAATACAAGGCAGACGGACGTTTTTCAGTTCAAACGTTTTTGGTTATTTGATTGTGTACGTACAAAGTGATAAATAGTTTATACGTAAAGCGCGACCTTGGCTCAAGTATGTAAAACAGATAACGCACATATTTCGGTAACCTCTTAGCTGAATATTGTTTACAAGTTACATAAAACGTATTAGGATATTTAAAGCTACGCTTTAGCTTTAGATGTATAAATAAATAAATCTTCTTCGATTTATATAGATTTAAAAGTCTATTAAGACACCGCGAAAGACATGATTTCACTATGGGGTAAAACGTAATCGTTTTTAGTGAAAGTTACACTAATTACCTAAGGAGAATTTTGTAGTCCCTTGTATAAATATCTATAAAATGTATAAAATACATTTATATGTATTTTTACTATGAAATATTTTTTTACATATGATATAGAAAAGTAGGTTTATGTATTTACCAATGACTATAACAGCTACGGTGAAATTTCTCAAAACATATTTGACAGGATAAACAAAAAATCGTGACGTCACATCAGTCACACTAAAATATACAAGTTCAAAACAACCGAATAAACTGTGCAAAAGTGGCCGGGCCAGATAAGACTAGCTGTAGCGATACAGCGAACTCGCACAGTCGCGGCAGTGACGTGGTGGAAACACCAACTTGTCAGCACTTCATCACTAGACAATCCTCTTTGCTTTTAATTACTTTTTATATGTTTAACTGTACTATTTTTTATATTGCTTTTATAATATAGATAATTTAATAAATTACTGATAAACTAATGGGGTATGTTATTGATTATACAATAATAATTAAGAAATTAATTAAGAAAATGTAATTATCGATAGCATATCAAAAGACGACAAAGACATTCATTAAGCAAATTCAACTCACTTGACTGTAAATCTCTTTGAGCCCGCTCGTGGTGAATTCCCAAATTGGAACACGTTCACAACGAAATCGTCCGTTTCTATCAAAAGCACAAGCACTGCAACTAACACTGAATATTACTCAACACACAAACCAAGCTAGATCGAGCGCGGAGCTCTCGAAGCACTTTTTCAATAGTTAGCTGAGTTAGATAGGAGTCGTGTACGTTTTAAAACTGGTTTTCTTTCTCTCAGGGTTGCATAAAAAAACTTAAAAAATAAAATAAAACGTGTACAACTAGAAACACTTGTTCCCCGTGGTGCTGCGCACTGGTGACTGAATGAGGCGATTGCTTGTGCCGCGAATCGATGTCGTGCGGCGCAGTAGTGTGCCGTCGACCGTCGCGAGCACACGCACACACAGCCAGGGCTAACCTGGGACCGAGGCCTGAGCAATGAGCATTGTCTTTGACTCCGACTACACCATTCCGACAAGAACTTAAGAACAGACAATTATGACGTACAAAAAAAAACCAACGTAATATTTTTTGCATTTACCACAAAAAAAATTATAACATAATAACATCTGCTTATGTATTTTTATATTAATAAGAATATAATAATGAAGAAAAATTGACAAATGATGAACAAATACTAATATTCTTAAACAATTAACAGTAGGATTTTCAGTCAAATTAAGTAAGCGTGAGTTTATCAGAATCATCATTAGTAGAGCGCTACAAATGCTGACAATGAAGTAGTTATAAATTAACAAGGTTAATCATACAATTACTAAAATGATTCATGTATCTAAGGTATTATCATATTGATTTTTAGCAAAAATAGAGCCATAAATAGAGATAAAATGGGAGTGGCCATCGATAATTCGAAACAAAAACATTGTGAAAGTAAAAACTTATCAGTAAACTAAATAATGCGTAGTATACTTCTGTTATTATAAATTTATTAGATAATGTTTTGTGATGCAGCAGGCATGGCAGCATCTATCGACGAATTTCTTGACGATTTTCAATTTCAATTCTAAGTACTTCGATATCTAATAATTTCGGGGAAAAACCAGTTGAGGAATTGTTTACATTCGAATAACACTATCAACGGCTATTCATAAGATAAAGAGAAATAATCAGAAATATCAAAAGTTTAGATAGAGTTGAGGATAGACCAGCCATTAACAATTCATCATTTTCAGAGCAGAAGAAATCTGGTTGAAAGCAGAGCGAACGCAACTAAACCCGAGTTAATAATCAGCACTTACACAATCCAAATGGAGTCGGCGGAGTGCGGCAATTGGCGCGGCCATAGCTCCTAATGGCTGCCGTTCCTTTGTGTTCAGCAAGCCATGAGCAACTCATGTGCTTATCTTGACAATCGCCATTTACATAATATGCTATTACAAACAAATCATAATAGCATACATCTATTTGATATCTATCATAGTTGACACAAATGGAATATGACAGGCATGTGTCAACAATTCTGTAATCTACATCAGTTATTGAATATACGGTTGTTCACAAACCCCAGTATTATATTTTATATGAAGATTCAAAAGAACCTAAATGTATATATCGAAGGACACATCTGTTTTAGGAAGTGTTCGAGACTCCAATTCGAAAATTTAATACGCAAATTATGATTTTACACGAATTGGAATCGTAAGGTCATTTTAATTGGTGTTAAGTGTTTGAGGACTAATCGATTGAGACATTGACCTGAGTCAATCATGAAGGAATAAGTAGTGAGTCGAACAATGGGTAAAGCTTGAAGCACCAACAACTGGTTGAGTTGGCATTGAGCCTGCCAAGAACTCTTGAGATAGCTGTAGCGACTACTCATAATGAATGTCGTTAATACAAATCGATTTTATAATATCTGTCAAAGTGTTTCAAAAGATAATTAAGGCTTTACACTGATTGTATTCTGCTGTCATCGAAGAAAGGTCTGAAGATGATTATTTTAGAAATTAAACTATATCGAAGTAGATATACTTTAACGTTTCATAGGACTATGTGAATACAAAGCGACGCAAATAAAAAAGTGAAGGCACTAAAAATAAACGATAAGATAAAGGAAATTTTCATGAAAGGTTGTACTTTAATAAAAACATGATTTAAAGTATGTTATCAGTTATTTCCAGTAAATGATATCTAAAATGAAAGCCTGTACATATTGCGACTTCGGCACAAAATAATAAAACGAAGTTGCAACTATGTTAAGGGTTTTACATTGTTTTTGTTTTCACAAAGTTGTTTCTGATAAATCAAGTTCAAGCACCGATATAACCACCTATTTTAAAGAACAAATAATATTATCAATATAAACTATGCCACAATAATGCAGACATAAAGCGTTCACAATCTATCATCTTCATTGTAACTTTAATATTAATAAACATGTACGAGGTTCAATAAAAAAAGATTATTTATTTTTCTGTGTATTTATCTGAAGGTAAGATTTTCGTTACTTAATCCATGTTATCATACATTGATTAAATAATTACCTCGTCAACGTCGATGAGTGCCACATGATCCTTATCGAGGGACGCCGGGAGAGACGTGCGCCGTGCGCCAGCGACCAACATGGTTTAACATCAACAATAGCACTACACCCCGACACTAGCCTACACAGATTAGCAACGCAACAGATAAGATAAAATTATTTATGGAGCTTCAGCGCTTCGTAGTTTTGTAACGTAACGTTGTGATAATCTTTTGTTTATGTTTGATCGTTATTACTTTATACGACAGTACTTTTTATAAATTGATGGAAAAAATGTTAATCTTCATTTATTTGCTGCACTTTAGTTTATTCATTTTAGCAAATTTGTTAAATCAATAACTTAAATAACTATTCAATGCCAAGTAAAGCAATAAACACTTACGAAATGATGTCAAAAATACACGGTACCGAAGAAGTCAATAGATACGACGGTTGAAATTCCCTATGACTAAATTTACTAATGACATCAATCAATCATCTGCTTTAAACAATAGATTTCAGTTTCAAAATTCCATTTTAATTGATGATATAATGTAGAATGTAATGAATGCTGGCTTACACAATGACGTTATTGGCCTTAACCTTAAGCTCCTCAGAATAAAATCTGGTGAAAAGTGAAAGCTTGGCAGTAAAACTGTCAAGGTAACATATTCATGTATATTCTATTTATCACATAACAAATTAAAAAGTTTTATAAGCAATTTAGCTCATGACCAACGATTACAGATTATGCTTTCGCTAGCACGATCAATGCTCTTTTAGATTTTGTTAAAAATCTTACATATTCCTTGGTCGGTTACCTATTTATCCTCAATCCTACTTACATTGTATGTTTAGTTCTAAAATCTGATCTGTAATATAACGCTAACGCGTGTTTCCAATAAATTCAGCGCTAAATATTTGGCATGATTCCTCTCTAATTATTTATATTGTATTATAATTGTAGGTGTTACTTGCAAAATATTCGCGAGCTCTGGGAATGCAATATACACAATAACGATAATATTATAATGTATCGGATTAGTCGGTAAAATTCCGTCGTTAATCGCATGCGGATTGTAAAACAATCTCGGTACGTTTACACTTAAAGAGCCATACATATGCGCATAGAAAAATAAACGTATATCCCTACTGTAGCACGAATCGACGACGTGACAATCTGGATTGAATACTGCTTGCAAATTACATCTGACTTCAAGGACCAAACGGGCAACTCGCATAACAATCACCTAGTATTAGCAAATGCTTACATAAGAGATTTTCATCTGCACATTTATAAGTAACATCAAAGTATGTGCTATCTATCACAGTCTTTAAATTAAAGCATCCAATTTGTACTAATAGTATAATCCAGATTATATTTTAAACATTTTTGATTACAATATATTGTCTATTAGGATACATGGAATACAATACAATTTTACCACGACATAAATCATAACAAAGAAAACAACTTCCACGTGAGATGATTTAGAAAGCGTCATAAATTCAGATAACACTCAAAGAAAGAAAAAAGCTATAACTCGAATTTATGATACTAATGGCTACAATATGTTCTAAATCTTTGATAACATTTAAATCACTGACGCCTTTTTACACATTAGTAAGATATTTGTTTAATGACTAATATTAACTATAGTCTGCATAATTTAATAACTAATCTTCCGACACGACAATTAGAAGACGTCACAAAAAATTGGCAAAAAACGAGGATAAACAACGAGGAGAAACTGGTAATGAAATCGATATAACGGATAATTCATTCAAAACACGATTAACCTTCACCTTATCGCCTCACCAACAAATATAGAAATAGCGTGATGGCGTTAAAACCACGTCTTATCGACTTGACAGCTGGCTTGTGTTTGATTGAATGGTCCTTACAATTGTTTGCGTTATATTTTCCGTCCTCCATTTAACTCTATGAAGCGACGGCAAAGACACAACGCACAAAATTTCCCATCTACGACCTTAACTGGCGAAAGCGAAAGCCAAATACCCTGAGTGATAATTTGGGCACGGTCGTAAAATACCAGCACCTTTTTTTTTCACTTATGATGGATTAAAATAATACTACGTCTGTTTGCACTTTAATCAAAAACTACAACTACACCCAGGTGAATTAAAATTCATTAAAGTCGGTCACGTCCTACAAACCTTTTACAAGTCATTTATGTCTTGAAGTACGTGACTTACTTAATACCATCTAAATATTATACTAAATCGTAATCAAGGGACCATTAACGTTGTGTACGTGCTAAACACCTACATTTCCTATGATGTTGTAAGAACGACGGTAATGTTTCGAAAATGTCATGGCTTTAGAGTGGCCGAGTGGTCCTTTTACTTACCTTTAGCCAAACGAGCAATAACTCAGCTACTCTACAGTCTTTCATAAAATAAAGAATAATAACATAATCAATAATTTACAGTAATTTGTATGCAGTGGAACAGTTTAACAGTATATCGTGTAATTTGTAACAATACTTTCACGAAACAAAAATGCGAATCGAATAACAATAAAAACCACATTGCGAATTTATTCCCACGGTAATGAATTAAGAATGAAATGAACAGTTTATACACTTAATTATCAATGCCAATAAAAAGGCATTTTAGTAAGGACAGTGCGACAAAACTGTATCAACAATGAATTCCTGCAGCGTTGTTGGAATACAGCCAAAAATCTAAAAACCAATTATTACAATGGGTCTCAAGACTATCCATTATTAGAGGCACAAGGTGTGACGTAGTCGTGTAGTTTATTGCACCGTTACGAGAAGTTTCCGCATAAATCACTAAAGAAAACTTTCCTCAACACTTCGTTTAAG